AATCTATATTTAAGTGAAAGAGTAAGGGAAAAAAAGCTGCAGTTTAATTATAATTTCAATTGGGAAAAGATTTAAATTTTACAATTACATGTCCAAATTGTAGAACTCTATTCTGAATCAAGATTTCATATCCTGCTAATCCCTACTTCTATTTATTAGATTAACAGATTATATGAATATACAAATATTAAAACAGCATATTTAATTTGAGAAAAGTGTATTAGAAAAGTATATCTTATGATCTATTTTATAGGTTGCTGGAAGCAATTAAAACTAGATGCCAAAAAAGAGGCAGATAATAACCAATGAGCTGCACATAGGACCGTTATCGTCGAATCCCTCTACATAAGTAGTTTTATCTGTTTTGGATTACAGTATTGAACCATTGTCCAATCCACATAAACCACCATCACCACTTATCATTACATATGAAAATAAAATACTGAATTACTTACATCTATAAATGAATACTCTAATTCAGGATTATTTACACCTGTAGTGATAAGTGATGCCATGGAAAATATGGAAGTGGCAGATGATCCACCACCATCCNGTAAAGTCGAATAAAATGACTTAAACTTGATTTTTATTTTTCCATATACTTTTTTGACAAACGATGTATAATCGGGAACGACGTAACTCAAAACGACATAAGTCGAGGTATGCCTGTATAGCTTATGTTCATCTGAAAAGAATAAGCTTTCCAGTAGTGAAAGAATTTAAAAAATTGGTTCAGTAGATTCAGAGATTACCTCTAGCAAACAAACATTCTCACTTTATAGATTAGTATAGATTTAGGAGAAAAATTAAGGTTTCAAAAATTATCTGTGTGAATTCATTTGTCAGATGATGACATAAAATCTTATCAAGTATTTGTTAAAACCATAACAATTATTACAATATTTGTAAACAATTTCAAAGGAGACGAATTTCTGTTAAAATTCAAGAAAAATTTATATTTAAAAATTTTAGTTCAAATTATATATGCTTGTAAGCATTAACAATTATAAGCTCTATATTTTATTGTTCCAAATTAATTTAAAAGCTAATTTTTAAGTGTTTTTGTTACCTAAGAGAAGTACTTAACAGTTACTTCTCTTAGGTAAATGATTACATCAGTCAGTCTAAAATACTTACTTTAATATAACAATGAGATGTTTCCTCTCCTGTCACTACGCTTTCCAATGGTTTGTAAAAAGCATGATATATTTCAATTTTCTTCTCTTTATGTAATTTAACAGCTGTTTCTTCTGAAAAACCAACACAACCATATTCTAAAGGTGTAAAAACAGTTGTTGGCACCTAACAAAAGTTTAATTAATATCTTAGTAAAAAATAAATAATATTTTGTATTTTCTAAAAGAGCAAAAGTTGAAAAGTGATTTTATAAAGTAAATAATAATATATTTACATTATTATAATCCATTTGAATGGTTGAATTACTAAATAATCTTTGAGCAAGTAATCTTCCAGCTTTAATTGCAACAGGAGTTAACTCAGGTTTATCCTAAGTTAATATTCAAACTGTGAGATAAGATATTACAGAAACATACAAATTTTATTATTTTAAATATATATTATATAATAATAGCTGAAATTAAAAATATCGAAACAAATTGGATTTATTGTTATATTAGACATTATCAAACAAATCAGCAGGTCTCTAGGATCAGCAAATGTTGAATTAAATTCTTCAAGAATGGAAGTGTAAATTTCTTACATAACATTTGATTAATTAATCAATATGAAGCATCAGCACATTAAGACTGTATGACCACTCACAATTATTCTCATTAAAGAGAGCCAATCCAAAATGGTATCAACCAGCATGTATGACAGATGTGGAATGATGCTTTAATCTGTACTATTCATGATAAATTGTCTTACTGAGTTCAAATCAAGTTCCTCATATCTGCAAATTGTCATCATTTTGTAACCATTCAAAAACAATAGTTAAGTTTAAGCTAAATGGCCATGTTATAAGATATAATATAGTAAAACTGTTACTGTTTGTACAGAAGTTTATCAATGTTAAATATGTAGTCTATTATTAGTTTTTTGTATTAAATGCATTAAATAATTTGTTAAACAATTTTATAGATAGATAATGCTAATTTCTAGGAGGCAAATTTATATGAAATGGAAAATTGAACAATTTAATATTTTTATAATGGCTGCTTTTCTACTAAATTGACTAAAATGCAAGATTTAAATAAAATTATTATTAATTGCACATGCTTTTGATGAATTCAGCAGTAAAATGAGCTTGTTTCAGGTCTGTAAATTTGTTTGAAAAGTGTCCTAAAGTTTGTTGTAGTAGTCATAAACAATATATTGGCACTGTGGGCATGTTACTGTGACTGGTGACATCTTAAAAATATCAATTTTGCAAATAATAATAATAATAATTTTTCTATAAATTCTCATTGAATAGCAAACTTTAAACTAAATTTCATGAATTTCTAATATCATAACCACAGATAAGACCAGTTAACTGAGGCTAGGTTATCATTTGAACTTCTAATAATTTTAAATTTTTTATCCAAGTTTAATCATCTCAAGATATATTTTAGACATAAGGTGTCTACTCTAACAGTTATACTACAATTTTTACATAGGATTAAAATATGTTACTTTCAAGCAATCACCAATAGCATAAATGTTATGAATTGATGATTGCTCATTTTCTCCTATAATCTTTCTGCTTTCCTTGTCTACTTTTACTCCTATTTTTTCAAGATTCAGATTATCAGTCTGTGCTTTTCGTCCTATAAAAATATAAAAGTAATCATAAAATGTAAAATGTCTTTTTATTTTTGTTTTTATGAGTAAATATTTAAATTTGTCTACCAGTTGCAAAAAGAACTGTATCAAATGTATCTTTTCCTTCTTTTCCATCTTTATCTTGCCACAAAACTTCTAATTTTGAATTTTCAAGCTTGTTAATTTTTTTTATGTTATAATATTGAAAAATGTGTGTTCCTTTAGATTTCATATTATCAGCAACAAGTTGTGCCATTTCCTAATTAAGAATTAATTAAAAAACTTCTTTAAACAGAAAATTTTTATTTAATATTAAAAATGAATTATTGAAATAATTTTAAAGATGATAAAAAAATAAAAAATAATTCAGAAAAGAGAACAAGTCTTACCTGATCAAAACCTCTTAAGAAAATAGATCTCACAAGCAGTGTTGTATCGAAATTTAAGCCAGTAAGAAATCCTGCACATTCTAATGCCACATCTTGGTATAATTAAGTGCTTATTTAAATAATAATGGTACAGAGTGTTGCAATTTGTATATGTTTAAAAACACAAATTAAAATACTGCAATAAAAAATAAATACAGTATATGCTTAAGTATATGTACTTTTTGTTCTTGTTTCCTCCTTTTTGTTTAGGAGGAGTTTCCTGCCAAATGCAAAATATCATTGCCAGACCTGGTGGATATAGAAGAAAATAGAAAAAAATTATAAAATCAGGTATTATATTTCACTAATACTGTAAGCTCTCTCTCTCTTAAGATAGATTTAAAGGAATTTAATATTAGATTGTCTCACTTGAATAGATTGTTGAATGGAAATTTTGTTTATTTTATATTTTCATTATATTTGTTCATGTAGATATATATAGAGCAGTGGTTCTCAATTAGTTTTTCCTGTGTACCACTTTAAGAAACAGCTCAAACCCACATACCCCTTATAGCAGAAATTCATATTAATCCACACTAATATTATAAATTTGATGGTAATTCTGTCTGTCTGTCACCTTTTCATGTCTAAACCACTGAACAGGTTTTAATAAAATTTGGCACAGAGATAGCTTACATGTTGGAGATGGACANTGGTGGATATAGAAAAAAAAATTATAAAATGAGGTATTATATTTGACTGTAACACTGTAATCTTTCTCTCTCTCAAGATACATAAAGAAATTGAATATTAAATTGTCTCACTCAAGTAGATTGTTGAATGGAAATTTTATTTTATATTCTCTTTATATTTGTTCATGTAGATATATTGTATAAATACAATTTATTTATTTAAATACAAAAACTATATTTTATTATTGTACTGTATTTTGATGGCCTAACTCCAATGTCAGTTCAAAACTCTCTCCTAGATTCATTCGCCACTCAGATAAAAAATCAGACTAATTTGAAATAATTCAATCACTATTGTGAGTTAGAATGCAATATAAAATATTTATTCTATCAATAACTGGTGTCAGGTTCCTGACATTAATAAGATTCTGACAATCTTTCAGGCAAAATATAATAAAACATTTCAATCCCGAGTCCCCAATCTCACATATAGTTCAGTTCCTCATAATTAAGTAAAATTATTAAAAATTTTCTAAGTCCACACCTCTTAAAATTCTAAAATAATAATTATCGAAACCTCCTAGGAAAATAGAACTAACAAACAATCTGCATCAAAATTTAATCCTTTTACTGAGACAAATGAGAACTTTTCATATCTGCTATTTTTGGTAATACTCATACTTGTTAACCTTGGTAGTGCCTAGCAACATGATAAAATGCCACCAGGCTTCACACAGCAAAAACCAAACCTACTTGTGAAAAGGTTAAGTCACTAAAACTGTTCACTGTTTAAAATAATAGTTTATTGCAAGATCTTTCTATATTTCTGCATTTGTTATCTCTATTATTAATAGTTATTTAAAATGCTCTTCAATATATATTCGATATGTTTGCGAGATATTTTTCAATCTATAGCAAATTCTTACTGCTGGATAAGAACATAATTTGTCTTCTGTTGATATCAAAAAATACAGTGTGTCTGAAAAGTATAGATAATCAACATTTTAGTACTTTTTCATAATTGTTAGGAATTTAAGAGAAATGAGAATGATTTCATTTGTAGATTTAAATTACTTTACTCTGATTTTTTGATAATTTTGAAATTAAAGATCATTATGTTAATTATTTTTACAACAAAAATATATATTTGGCTGTCCCAAAAGTATAGATAATAAAACAGAATTGTAAAATTTCAAGCATAAGAAACTTAAAATTATGAAAATAATTATAAATAATGTCAAGTAACACTTTAACTTCGTTGTTAAGTAATAATTTAATATTGAATCAAAACTTTTCAAAATGCCACATGGAAGAGAGTTTAGTATGGAAGGAATTGCAAGAATATGAAAATGAAAAGCAAAAGGCTGTTGTATCAAGGAAATTGCTGTTTTAATGAACAGAACTCCTGGAATTTATAAAATTTTGGGAAAATCATCACGAATACTTTATAAACGTCAATCAGGAAAACCTAAAATCACATCTCAAAGGGATGATAATTAAATTGTATGCCTTGCATCACAACAGGATAAATCAGTTCATCAAATTTTGTTTGAAAGAGAATTTAAAATATCAAAAAGCATTGTTTATCAAATAAGTTCAGCAGTTCCATGTATAAAATTTCTGCCATGATGGAAAAAAAAAACAACACAAATTGGCAAGAATGCAGTGGGCTAAAGATCACATGGTGTAGAATGGCCAATGGCTTTACCAATGGAAGTGTCAGTCTAGGTGTGGATGACTTTGGGTGATATTGTTTATGCTTAGTAAGTGTTCATGTTTTCCTTTGGAGTTACACAAGATCTGTCCAGTGTATAACTTCAAAAGAATAAGTGAGTACAGGGACAACATACACATTAGTAGCTTTAATAGTATGTTTTGTATTTAAATGTGTTTTAGTATTGCATTTAATCTGTTCTGGTATTCAAGTGTTAACCTTTCTTTTATCTGTGCATGTTCTGTAAGTTTGGAATCCAAAATATTTGTAAAACTCGCCCTCTTCCATGGACTCAATAATATCTCCACTTTTGAGTACAAAGTCTCCTTTTTCAATTGGAGTGTTTTGCATTTGTCTAGACCAGTGTTTTCAACCTTCTTGAATACGTGACCCCTTTACAAGTTAAAAAATTCTGGCGACCCCCCATGGCCATATTAAAACTATGTCAGTGATTTTAAAAACTACTGTACGTATTTAATTTTCTTTCTGTAGAGATTTAAATATCGATAAAAAAACAATTGTATTGTAAAATAAACAGGCACAGCCTTCTCACTGAAATTGTAGTGTAATTTTTTTTATTGTAGTGTAGGACCTACAAACACTTGTCTTTTTCTTTTACCCTCAACCCCCTGTGTATGGCTTTGCGACCCCCCTGGGGGTCATGACCCACAGGTTGAAAAACACAGGTCTAGACCAAACTCCATTTGTATATCATTTGAGTGTGTGTTAGTAGCTTGTAAGAGATGATGCTGATTCTGTGTGGATGCATACAGTTTGATATCATCCATGTACTGTACATGTGGTGTGATAATGTGAACAGTGTTGTTTTGTTGTGTTTGATATTGTAGCCATACACAGCCAATTGCAGAGACAGCGTTTATGTTAAATGACATTTCACAACCCAACGACCTATAGATGTCAGCTGGCTGAACTGTGATTTAAAATATGTTGCAAACACGATGATTGTCTATTTCCGAACACGATCTAAACGAATCTGGTCAAAATATTGGCTCTTACTTTCTTTGCCATTACTCCCCTTTTAGGAGTCGTTCAGCCAATCAGATTATTCATGTGACATCAGAAACATGGCAACTGTGTCAAACATGTAGGAATTTTTCAGAAGAAGAAAAGAACATCCTGGCTAGTGAAGAAAAGAACATCCTGGCCTTTTCAAAATCATTAACCCAGACGGCAGATCAGGTTTCTTCGAACAGAAGTTCCTGACGCATGCGCAATGTCGTTTTACAATGCGAAGAATAACGTGCATGCTGGTTCTAAATCAGTTACAGTTAGGGACTAGGGACTTGCATAGGAGTAACATAAGTAATCCTAAATTAAGAAAGAACAGGTAGAGATGACTTAGCTCTATTGGATATTGGAGACATGTACGATAGTACATGCGAAAAAAAAAAGGTTGACAGGTTGCATGCCACACGTCAGTGTAAACAGACTAACATGGCAGAATTGCAGATGAGTTTCAGAGAGTGTGAGTTCTTTTGTTGTTAAAATAGTGTAAATTTGTAAAAATATTTGCAAGAACTTTGTTTCATCGTAATTTCACAATTTATACGAAATTCCCGGGCAAAATTAATAGTTCACCCAGACAGTGAATTAATTCCCGGACTGTCCAGATGAAAATCATATGGGTGGTAACACTAATCCTGGTGAAAATTATTAAAAATTATCCTGTAGTCGAAGAGAAGGGATATGATAACTGTACTCTAGAAAAAAAAACCACGTGGAAGATTCTAAACGAATTCTCCTTAACATTTCCCTGTAGAGCAGCTCGTACAATAGTACAATTGAAAGGCAAGTATGAATGTAAAACATTCATTGAAGATTATTTTTTTAGTTAATATTTTTAACATTAGTGTTAAAAATATTAACTAAAAAATGTTAGTTAATATTTTTAACATTAATAATATCAAAGTAGAATAATAATTCAAAATTATAATAAAAATAATGTAGAAAGTTATGATTAATATTTACCTAAATTAAATTTATTACAATGAAAATTACTTTGTGAAATCTATATTTAAGTGAAAGAGTAAGGGAAAAAAAGCTGCAGTTTAATTATAATTTCAATTGGGAAAAGATTTAAATTTTACAATTACATGTCCAAATTGTAGAACTCTATTCTGAATCAAGATTTCATATCCTGCTAATCCCTACTTCTATTTATTAGATTAACAGATTATATGAATATACAAATATTAAAACAGCATATTTAATTTGAGAAAAGTGTATTAGAAAAGTATATCTTATGATCTATTTTATAGGTTGCTGGAAGCAATTAAAACTAGATGCCAAAAAAGAGGCAGATAATAACCAATGAGCTGCACATAGGACCGTTATCGTCGAATCCCTCTACATAAGTAGTTTTATCTGTTTTGGATTACAGTATTGAACCATTGTCCAATCCACATAAACCACCATCACCACTTATCATTACATATGAAAATAAAATACTGAATTACTTACATCTATAAATGAATACTCTAATTCAGGATTATTTTCACCTGTAGTGATAAGTGATGCCATGGAAAATATGGAAGTGGCAGATGATCCACCACCATCCAAAAGACAATGGTAAATAATATTCAGATAAAATGATACTAAATATTAATAATTACTTTCTAAAACATAATTATTCATACTATATTTATAGCATTAACTCTAGAAAAATCCCAAATCCAGCTAATAGAGGATGGCATAAAAACAGAGAAAATGAAACAAGATACAGAAAGGAAAAGGCTAGAAGCAGAACAACATAGGATAGAGGTATTCAGGTTTAAAAAGTTGAAACTTCTGCAAGAACTAAAATTATCACATAATAAATAAATTGCTTTAATAGTATGTTTTGTATTTAAATGTGTTTTAGTATTGCATTTAATCTGTTCTGGTATTCAAGTGTTAACCTTTCTTTTATCTGTGCATGTTCTGTAAGTTTGGAATCCAAAATATTTGTAAAACTCGCCCTCTTCCATGGACTCAATAATATCTCCACTTTTGAGTACAAAGTCTCCTTTTTCAATTGGAGTGTTTTGCATTTGTCTAGACCAGTGTTTTCAACCTTCTTGAATACGTGACCCCTTTACAAGTTAAAAAATTCTGGCGACCCCCCATGGCCATATTAAAACTATGTCAGTGATTTTAAAAACTACTGTACGTATTTAATTTTCTTTCTGTAGAGATTTAAATATCGATAAAAAAACAATTGTATTGTAAAATAAACAGGCACATCCTTCTCACTGAAATTGTAGTGTAATTTTTTTTATTGTAGTGTAGGACCTACAAACACTTGTCTTTTTCTTTTACCCTCAACCCCCTGTGTATGGCTTTGCGACCCCCCTGGGGGTCATGACCCACAGGTTGAAAAACACAGGTCTAGACCAAACTCCATTTGTATATCATTTGAGTGTGTGTTAGTAGCTTGTAAGAGATGATGCTGATTCTGTGTGGATGCATACAGTTTGATATCATCCATGTACTGTACATGTGGTGTGATAATGTGAACAGTGTTGTTTTGTTGTGTTTGATATTGTAGCCATACACAGCCAATTGCAGAGACAGCGTTTATGTTAAATGACATTTCACAACCCAACGACCTATAGATGTCAGCTGGCTGAACTGTGATTTAAAATATGTTGCAAACACGATGATTGTCTATTTCCGAACACGATCTAAACGAATCTGGTCAAAATATTGGCTCTTACTTTCTTTGCCATTACTCCCCTTTTAGGAGTCGTTCAGCCAATCAGATTATTCATGTGACATCAGAAACATGGCAACTGTGTCAAACATGTAGGAATTTTTCAGAAGAAGAAAAGAACATCCTGGCTAGTGAAGAAAAGAACATCCTGGCCTTTTCAAAATCATTAACCCAGACGGCAGATCAGGTTTCTTCGAACAGAAGTTCCTGACGCATGCGCAATGTCGTTTTACAATGCGAAGAATAACGTGCATGCTGGTTCTAAATCAGTTACAGTTAGGGACTAGGGACTTGCATAGGAGTAACATAAGTAATCCTAAATTAAGAAAGAACAGGTAGAGATGACTTAGCTCTATTGGATATTGGAGACATGTACGATAGTACATGCGAAAAAAAAAAGGTTGACAGGTTGCATGCCACACGTCAGTGTAAACAGACTAACATGGCAGAATTGCAGATGAGTTTCAGAGAGTGTGAGTTCTTTTGTTGTTAAAATAGTGTAAATTTGTAAAAATATTTGCAAGAACTTTGTTTCATCGTAATTTTACAATTTATACGAAATTCCCGGGCAAAATTAATAGTTCACCCAGACAGTGAATTAATTCCCGGACTGTCCAGATGAAAACCATATGGGTGGTAACACTAATCCTGGTGAAAATTATTAAAAATTATCCTGTAGTCGAAGAGAAGGGATATGATAACTGTACTCTAGAAAAAAAAACCACGTGGAAGATTCTAAACGAATTCTCCTTAACATTTCCCTGTAGAGCAGCTCGTACAATAGTACAATTGAAAGGCAAGTATGAATGTAAAATATTCATTAAAGATTATTTTTTTAGTTAATATTTTTAACATTAGTGTTAAAAATATTAACTAAAAAATGTTAGTTAATATTTTTAACATTAATAATATCAAAGTAGAATAATAATTCAAAATTATAATAAAAATAATGTAGAAAGTTATGATTAATATTTACCTAAATTAAATTTATTACAATGAAAATTACTTTGTGAAATCTATATTTAAGTGAAAGAGTAAGGGAAAAAAAGCTGCAGTTTAATTATAATTTCAATTGGGAAAAGATTTAAATTTTACAATTACATGTCCAAATTGTAGAACTCTATTCTGAATCAAGATTTCATATCCTGCTAATCCCTACTTCTATTTATTAGATTAACAGATTATATGAATATACAAATATTAAAACAGCATATTTAATTTGAGAAAAGTGTATTAGAAAAGTATATCTTATGATCTATTTTATAGGTTGCTGGAAGCAATTAAAACTAGATGCCAAAAAAGAGGCAGATAATAACCAATGAGCTGCACATAGGACCGTTATCGTCGAATCCCTCTACATAAGTAGTTTTATCTGTTTTGGATTACAGTATTGAACCATTGTCCAATCCACATAAACCACCATCACCNCTTTGGAAGCTACCCTTCTGTCCATTGACATCATGTTATTGCTGCTGATGAAAGACTGTAAACACACAACTGCAGTGGTCTAACTGAGCCTGTATACAGGACGTTGTGTACTTAGTGCTTGTCATCTTTCAGAGGGGAGTGTGGCATCTTAGAGAGTCAGACAAAACATGGTTTGTCGTTGCACATTATGTAACAAAGTTGGTGGTTGTCACATTGACACATTTACTCTAAAGTAGTGCAGCCACTGATTCTATGTACAGTACTCTACTGTTTTGTCAATAAAGCCTGTCATAAATACTGTATTCTGATGTTTCATTCAGCACACCAACTGCATAGAACGTGCAAAGTGCTATAGAAACTTTATATCACATTTCCGGCTATAGGTTCCTTATATCAAAATGTTCAAAATTTCATCCTCTACAATCCCCCAAATTTTTAAAACGTCATTCTGATACACTCTGTATATTATTCAATTTGAAGAAGAGGTATGTATGATGATAAATTAATCAAGAGCACTTAAATATGACAAAAATAAAGAACTAAAATTTATCTTTCATTAAAATCTTCAAGTTTTAATCAATTCAGCATCACTATAGTTCCTACATCACTTAGTTTTTAATTAAGAACAGCTTTTTCCTTTAAACTTTTTAGAATAATTTTCAAATTTTTTAATTAAATCTTTTCAAAAAATAGTATTGCTGTATATCCAAATACATATATATATATAATTTTTTTTTATTTCTGTATTAATTAAATGTCCATTTTTCTTCTTTGACTATAGACAAAATATTAATAAATTTATTGTAAATACTACTAATGTTTTTCAAAAACTATTTCAGTATCAATCCATTCAATATTGTTTTATTTCTTTGTTAAAAACATATTCAAATAATATTAGTCTTTTATAGATAAATAAAACAACATATCTACATATGTGTATACAAATATGAAGATATTAAAACAAAGAAAAAAGAGCACAAGAGAGAGAAATAGAATTATAAAAAATACATTTTTAATAAAAAAATAAATGTCCTTTATATTCTTCAAAAGTTAAGTTTTGAAGAATATAAAGAACTATCACTGTTAACTTCATAAAAAGAATATTAATAAATGTAAAAAAAAGAGGGTATTTTTTTAACATAAACAAAACAATGGCAGCTCCTTTATTTTTTGTTATTTATCTGTATTTATAATGCCTTAATTATAACAATCATTTTCTCCTATTATTAATTTTAAGTACCAAGACTTACTGCATCATCATTAACTATACTCATATGTGAAATATGTAATTAAAAAAATTTTTTTTTAATATTTAAATCAAAGATTTTGATTGTTCATTTTCTTATAATGAAATGGATACAGAATTTATTTGGGATTTGTTCCATTGTAAAAAATTGACAGTTAATAAACAATAGATGGAATGAGGGCCTATTCAGCAAAGATGTCAATCTGCCACTCTAGAAATCAGGACCTCAAAAATTGTCATGAATGGTTTGATTTCAAATGTCATGCTTCATCCCTCAACATCTAGTACTTCACTTGGCTCAATGATGGAAAGAATTTATAAATAAAATAAAAGAAAAAATAGATAATACAAGAAAATGATATCTATTTCATAATTCTACCACAACAGTTATATACAGTAGTGTCACATATATTTCTTAAGATTAATAACTTTTATAAGTGGTAAGTTAAGACATTGCTAAAAATCATATATTTATTTATTTAAATATTAAAATTAAGCTTACGTTTTACCAGGAGGTTTTTTTAATAAGAATATATCATCACTTGTAATTCCATATTCTTTAGCACCTTTAATGTCTGGATAATTTGGTCTTCCTCCAACTGCTATAACAAAGTTATGGGCAGTTAACTTTTTCTATGGAAAAAATTACAATATTTAATGTAAAATTTTATTACTTTATTTATTTTACATATGTAACTAGCCTAAGTAGTCAGCATTTCCAAAGGATTGTAATGAAGATGCTGAAATTAGCTAAAATTTTGTTCAGTCAGTTAGATAATGAGTGGACTGTAACGTACAATGAATATACCGTGTTTCCCCGAAAATAAGACAGTGTCTTATATTAATTTTTGCTCTGAAAAATGCGCTAGGTCTTATTTTCAGGGAATGTCTTATTTTTTCCTGGAAGAAGAATTCACATTTATTATTGAACAAAAAAATTCCCAAGTTGAACTTAGACAAGAGTGACGTATATCCGGTGTGTCGAACTGTCACCTTTTTATAGCGTCAACATCGGACTCGATGACCAACCGTTCTTACTGAACCGTAGCACTATGAAAATGTAATGTGGCGTGATTCCCGGCCGACCAATTAGCCATCACCAGCCGTAACGTTATGCAAATCTGTGATTCCCAAGCCATAGTNCGATACAATAGTCTTTGTTAGGCTTAACATTGACGAAAGTTCACGCAAAGCGACACGCAACGGAGAAAAATTTCGACATTGGATATGTTAAACCACTGTTTTTCAACCTTTTTGAATACGTGATCCCTTTACAAGTTAAAAAATTCTGGAGACCCCCTAGGGCCATATTAAAACTATATCAGTGATTTAAAAATTATGTATTTAATTTTCTTTCTGTTGAGAGAAATTATTGTTGACTAAAATGGAAATTTAAGAAGAATCGTCAATAACTTACAACACGTATAGTATGTTACTTCCTTCTTATAATAACAATGGGTTCACAGTGCTGTTGACCTCTTTTGTTTTTTTTTTTTACTTATCACTTCTTTTTCCAGGTCACCTCGACACTTTTTCGGCTATCATTTTCTAGGGTGGGCTGTACCCCCCATGCCCCTACCGGGCGACACCCATCATTCCGACCTAAATGTCAATCAAAACACCAACTGTACTGCATGATAAACAGGTACAGCCTTCTCGCTGAAATTGTAGTTTTTTTTAATGTAGTGTAGGACCTACAAACACTTGTCTTTTTCTTTTACCCGCGACCCCATGTAAGGCTTCGCAATCCCCAGAGGGATTGCGACCCACAGGTTGAAAAACACTGCGTTAAACTATTTTTTCGTACGTAAATCAGTTATCCGGACAACCCCAGTCCCCAATTGATTCGGAAAATCGACGCTCTACTGTAAATGTAAATGAAATAGCATATTTACTCATTAGAAGAAATACTTAAATCAGTTAATGTTAGTTACAACTATCAGCAACACTGATTCTTTTTCTGTGCTATTAGGTGCTGATTTCTGAAGACATAAAATGTCAAGAAAATGGAACTGTACTGATGTTATTAATTTTTTAGTCATAAACAATATCCACTATTATGGAATATAAAACATCTTGATTATGTAAACGCTAAAGTAAAAGAGGATATGTAGACATCATCTACTCACTTTGTTACTCTTGCACACAAGAACGAGTTTCTTAGTCAGACAATAAACTTGAGAGTCAGTAGCAACATAAGTAGCTCAGTCTTCAACTTTACTCACTCAAATACATCATCAAGCAATTATACTAAATAAATTACTTACATTGATTGAATACTCAAATTTAATAATAGTGAGTGGCCACTAAACTCACCTAAAGTAATTGAGCCGTTCAAATGTTATTCATTTTATTTAATATGTAATGAGTTTTGTTTAAGAACAATTTGTTTATTAAATTTTAAAAAAAATTGATAATATATAAAATAATTTCTTGATTATAAATTTCTCTATATGTTTAGAATATCATTAATTCAAACTTTGTATTAAATTAAATGTAAGTTTTTAAGCTTAGTTTTAAGCCATGGCAATAAGTAAGAAAATAATTTGTTCTTGTCATTAATTTTTAAAAATTCTTTATGATTAAGAGATTAATTTTTTGACATTAAATAATAGTTAAGTTTAATAATAGCATTTAATTAAAATACATTACATTTATCTTATCTCCCACAGCAGTTATAGTATGTTCATCTACAAAAGATCCTTTAGCGTTAATATAATCAACATTTCTGTAAAAATAATATGTATGAAAATACTGTAGAATGAAGAATTAAAAAGTAAAAATATTGTAATTAATTAACATAATAAGAAAAATAATTATATATAAATTTATAAATACCACTAAATTAAAATAAACTTGTATTGATCAAGATAAGTAAAGAAATGAGTGACCTAAAGAATCTAATAAGAATTTTACAAAGAAATCCTAAGAAAGAAAGTAAAAGGAAGATC